GTTCCTTCATCAATTCGTCGACATTTGCTGCATAGACTCCTGTCCGATGGGTATATCTTCCGTTTGGGAGCCGGGTTATAGTTGCCGTCCTTTCTCCTGGCTCTCTTTGCATTCGTCGTACTTCTCTCTTCTTCATTCTGGGGATGGTCGTGCCCTCTCTTTTCTGGTCGGTGGAACGGCTTCTTTTTCTTGTTACCTTCAATTTTCCAACGGGGAAACTTTCTTTTCAATTGCTCCTGCCTCCTAATGGCTTGCCCTTGTGATTGTCGTTGTTCCACCTCTGGAGCTTGTGCCTGCAGTGCCTGTCGTGCCGGATCCACTTGTCGAATTTTTTGTTGCTCTTCCTTAGGCAGGTGGTGGAGGTTTAACGTTGGTGGTTCTGTTTTTTCTTCTCGAACTGGTTTCATCGTCAGCTTAAGGGACGCTTCGTTAAAATCCAGCGTTGCTTCTGCCTCTGAAAGAAAATCTATCCCTAAGATGATATGTGCTTGCAAATTCTTTACGATAAAAAACATAATCTTTACTTGCTCGTCCTTGATACAAATGTATAACGGTAATTTACCTATGCACTTGCATCTTTCTCCCTGCGCAGCTAACACTGTCGTATTATTCGAATTATATATGCGGTATTTACGGAAATACTTCCTAAAAAATCTTCTGCCACACAGGAACACTGCGCGCCTGTATCCAGGAGTGCGGTGGCTGGGATGTTATTCACCAACACTTCAATCTTTGGAAGAGTCAAATTTTTCACCGTCACTGTATTTAACTTGTAGGAAGAGGGGTTTTCTTGGCCTTCGGATTTCCGCACCCTCCTGTCAGCAGAAATCCGTTTTAGTTTAAATCTTGTTTCTTCCTTTCCATGCCTTCCTTCTTTTTCCACTGGCCTTCAGACTTTTTTTGTGGCTTACTATTGAAATGTCGACGTTCGCCGGTTGTTTTTGGATACTCGGGTTTCCTTGCATCTGATTCGCTTTGCTTCCGTAGCCGTGTTCTTGACTTTGCTGTGGTCTTGGCGCACCAAATTGGCTTCGTTGCTCATACTGGCGTCTTCTTTCAATGTCCGCCGTTCTTCTACTTTCAAACTGGATTGCTAGCTCAAATAACTTTTCCAGTGTAGTCGGATTCCTTAATTCAATAAAGTCTTGTAGTTGGGGAAGTAACCTCGGCAAAATCACTTGAATTATCTCAGGATCCGGACGGTTTCCATACAAGAAGTTTTAAAGACGTGAATTTTTCTTAAAATAAAGGTGGAAGATTTTCGATTCGTTGCTGGTATATGCTGAAGAGTTTCCGTTTCTAAACTTGCACGATCTCTTACGACAGGGAAGGGTTTTACTAAGGCAGTCTTAAAATTTTCGTAAGTATAGGTGGGGGAACTTCCCGCTTGACCCAAGAGGCTTCTGCCTATACATTTTGAACCAATAAGCGCTTGGCCCCTCAAAGCGCTGGTAGCTAAGGTGACTTTATGGAACTCATGGACTGGATACAGCATGAAGTGGTCATCCAATTTTTCCAAAAAACTGGTTACCGGTGAGTTTCCATTAAATGTTGCTTCTGGTTACATCGATGCGCGCATGGTCTGGACGATGTAACCAAATCCTTCCAGGGCGGCAGCTGGCATTTCTGGATTCTGAGCCGCTTCTGCAGGCAGCACAGGTTCTTCTTGAAACTCGGCCATGGTTATTCTTCTTCGTCGGGCGCCACTATCAGGTTCCGTGTTCCTCCTTACTTGCTTAGGGAACATTAACTGTCCTGACTCGGAACAGGGAGCTTACTAATGCTATGTTCAATAAATTTGGGAAGTAGACAATACACACAGGAAGGATATACGAAAACCTTTATTTTTCTCTCTTCACAATGATTTCCGGACTTCGGAATACAGAGACCAACCACTTGTGGTCTGAACGTAAGAATATAACAATATTAACTAAACTCTAACTAAACTAACTTTGGATTAATCAAACAAGTGCCTAACTCCAAGATTGGCTGTATATTAATAAAAAGCCGTATGTAGTACAGAGAACTGCTAACACTACGATACGTTTAAAATTATCAATAGGATTAAACCTCTGGCCTTGAAGGCAACCAGCAACCGAGTAAATCTACTATGGCAAGCGGCCTGCTTCTAATAGCTCCTTCCTCTCTCTTGCTTGGCAAAAAGCCACAACTTAAGTACTTGGCGTTCTCAAGACAAATTTGCATAAATAAGTTAAAGCTTTTAATTCTGGCCGGAAGTAGAAAATAAGAAGTGATAGTAAAGATTTAAAATAAAATAAACGTTAGTAAAACTTAGGATCCTTACAACCTAAAATCACTAGACACATCTTAAGAATCATATGCAAATTTCAGGAAGTAACCAGATGACACCGATGGTACGTCACAATGACGAGAGTGTAAGAGAGTGATATATAAGGAATACAGGCAAAGAAGTAAAATTGTTCTCAGGCGCTTTATAAGTATTTCAGTGCAATAACCGAATAGTTATGACACAATGGACGCATTTGGATGATTTTTCATGTGGTAGAATTATCGGCCGTCTGGAATGTGGGCGTACCCAACTGGAAGTATCAGACGAACTTGGAATTGCACAGAGTGTAGGCTTCGGCAACACTCTGGGCTCTCCAGGCTTTTGCAACGATTCCAAGATGATGGTAATGTGAGTAGACGTTACAGCACAGGTCGCCTCAGAGTTACAACGCCGAATGAGGACCGATATTTGGCAGTTACTGCCAAAAGAAACAGGTGGAGCACAACCTCAGACCTGTCTCGTCAGCTGTCTTCAGGCACTGGTACGACAATTTGAAGGCAGACCGTGTACAAACGCTTAGGGTAGATAGCTCTATATGTTCGTAGACCTGTAAGATGCGTTTCACGTACTGCAACTCACTGTCGCCTGTGGTTAGCCTGGAGTAGAGAGCATGCATTGTGGACACCGCAACAGTGGGCTTGTGTGATGTTTTCCGACGAGTCCAGGTTTAGCTTGCAGTCTGATTCTCGTCGGACTTTCATATGGAGAGCTCCAGGTACCCGTTACCAACGAGAAAACATCATTGAACGACACCGTTACGGTGGTGCAGGAGTGCTCGTTTGGGTGGAATTATTCTGGGTTCCAGAAGTGACTGCATGTTCAAATTAGAACCATGACAAGCACAAAATCTATCGGGACGTCATTCTGGAACAACATGTACGTTTGTTTCGGGGTGCCATGGGCGCACAATTTGTGTTTATGGATGACAACGCCCGTCCTCACAGTGCAAACATCGTAAGCGAATGCCTTCAATCGGAGGATATCACCCGTATGGACTGGCCAGCATTCTCACTGGACTTGAATCCAGTAGGGCACGTGTGGGACATGCTTGGTCGACGAGTTGCAGCCCGTCAACCTCCTCCTACATGTCTACCGGAACTTCGGAGAGCATTGCTTTTTGAGTGGTGTAATATCCCCCAAGATCAGATCGATAATTTGATACTCAGCATGCCTAGGCATTGTACGGACTGTGTTGCATCGTCTGGGAGACTTACAATGTATTAACAATCATACCAACCATGTAATATTGGTTTTCTGTAAATAGTTTTTTTTTTTTTTTTTTTTTTTTTTTTTTTTGTAATTTGCTCGCTAATTTTTTAATAATATCAAACATATAGCATCTTTTTTTTGCTCTTTACATTTTGTTTAATAAATAAGCTTTACAAATAAGTCAAATATGTTTTGCTTCTAACTCTTCCTTTGCCGGATTTTGCATTACCTTTAATTTATGGACATGAGTGTATTAAGAATAGTCACTACCTAACTACACTTTCGAAATGCTATACAGATTTTAGGGACAACAGACTCAAGTTAGGCTTTAAATTTAAGGCAAAAAATCTAGTATAAAATCAAGATTAGCATTAGATTCGGAAATGCATGTGTCGGGCGGAAAAATCAGACATACGATATTAAAAAACGTTCAATTTTTAAACAATGAAAAGTTCAATATATATTATAGATAAGTAGATATATTTATTATTAATAATAATATAAATATTCTAATACTACATTTATATAATTAATTACTATGTATAAATTTTTCTTGCCTTGGATGAAGCAAATTTATTAATTATTTCATCAAATTCGATCATTTCAAATTTTTCGCTTTCCACATATAAACATGCTAGATCACTCTTAGGTGATCTTGTCCCATCGCTGATTGCAAATATGTCAAAATAATTTTTAATTTGCTGAATTCCCGTTCTACTGGACCGGTTGACAAAATTCAAATTGCGTTCTTCATGTCTCGAAAGCTCGACTTAGTATATATATCATTGTTATAACTTAGGTATTTTGGCACAAAATCGGACTTCTTCTGAAATGATATGCCGATTTTTTTCCATATTCGATTCTGCGACTCAAATTATGCCTAAATATTAAATTGGGTAAAATGTGGTGTGAGATTTACGGAGAAATTCATAAATTTATCCTGGCGAACTTCTTAATTTATAGCGAACTATTTTCCTTTCCCTTTTTCATTATAAATGAGTGGAAAAACGTCATCGTTCAGTATTTCAAATAATTTTATTAAAGTGCGTAAACTATATTTGGCATTTTTATCGCTTATATAAAATATATTAAATTTCAGATTGTGCCACTATATAAATTCACGTATATCATGGAAGTTTTGAATAAAAAACTCTAATATTTTGCAGATATGCTTAAGAATACATCTACTTTAAGATGATGTTAAAAATTTTATGGGTTATAATTCAAAATGTTTTTCGAAAATTTATAAAAATTATTTAAAAATACAAATTTTAAAAATAAATCATAAAAAATGGGCGAATTTTATTTGGAATAAATCTAAATTTCGAAATGTGAAAGAAATAATCAAGTTTAATAATAATAAAAAAGACAGATACCAAATAAACATATACCAAATTCAATTAACACTGTAGAGTTAAATTTATTTAGTTTAATTTAGCTCAGGTTTATATACATATTATATGCAAAACTTAATACTCACTCATTATGATAGACACTGATATTTTATTCAATTTCCGAAGTTTTTCAATTTCGATTGCCAGAATGTTATTGCCGTCTAGGTACACATGAGCAATAGGTAATCCTTGAAAAAGATCCTCAGAAATATGAGCTAATCGGTTTTTGCTTAAAAAAGAGAAGAAAAGTCTTATGAAAAGTCCGTAGTCTCTTTTAATTTTTGCATCTTCAATAAATTATATTCCATTTTAGGCTTTCCCAGATGTTCTTTTTTTGAAAATTGTCCAATGACACCCTTACACTTTGGACTAGGTAAGAACGATTCTCATCTCAGCCTTTTTATTCAGGACCCAGGCTAAGTGAACATGCGAAAGGATATGATTATGACTCACTATGAAGTCTACATAAAATGATGTCACAACGATGCTGCGCCGTTTAAGCTTCATATTCAAATACTTATACCATAGCACATTAATATCGCTGGTGTTGATACCTAATACAGTATATATGATTTTTTTTAATTACTACATCCATTTCGTCTAGTCTAATTCTTTGAATGCCTGCTTCCCTCCACCCCCAATATCTTCTCACCAACTATAGTAAGGAGGTGGGAATAGTTAGAAAATTTTTAACTGAACTATTTTTTATGATCTTACCTAGATATTTTTGGAGGGAAAGAAAAGATCTCCAGTAGCACAATTTTTATTGCTAGCTCCACAAAGCCTGAAGTGGGAAAGGCTGAAATGGGACATCACGTTCAGTGATCGCTTCTTTATTTTCGTCCTTGTTTTTAAATATTAAATATGCAAACGCATTTTTAATATTAAAGGTTTAACTCGCAAATGCTACACGCAATATTATTAAATATTAAATTGTAAGAATGTCAATATATTAACAAGTAGAAAAATAATAATATCCCTTTTGAAGCAAACTCCTCGTATTTTGCAGAGCCACCGAAACTTGCAGTTCAGCCAGGGAAAAAAACATGTTCATATTAGCATTCATTCGGCGTTAGTAACACACCATAGAGAGAATACGATAACTGAATATGAATTAGAAGCCTTAATTATGGCATTCCAATCATCAGTGTGGAAGGATTTTCTTTTCCTGCATATATAGAAAACCCGGATCACTTTTAAGTTGGAACAGGAAATTAAATTGGACCATTTCCTAATACATCTACACGATCAGTTTAAAAGTTATTGATAAAAAAGCACATATACAAGCCAGAATATTATGACTTGATAAGGTTATATTTAGTCTAGTACCGTAACTTCAGTTAAATATTTCATTACTTTAAAAACTAAATGAAAAAAAAAAAAAAAAAAAGCCCTGTTATGCGGCCTGTGGTTCTATTCTTCAAATGACAAAAATGCCTTAGCATTTACTTCTTTTCCTAAGTTGAAAAAAAAAAAAAAAAAAAAAAAAAAAGGCATGATGGAGCTGTACAATAAAAATTTTCAGATTTTAATGCATCAGTCCCTTTAAATAGATTGCTTTCATTTGACTTCAGATATCTGCTGGAAGCGTTCTTTCTTTGTAAAATGATATTACAAACTATTGTCAGGAGTATTATTTCATACCTGCATATTCTTTTAACAAAGATGTAACTTCTTCCATTGAGTTAATTTCTATTCGGAACTCGTAAGACTTCCGAACGTTTTGGACGAATGGTAACTCATCCAGATTTTTTATTTTTATTTTATTTTATTTTATTTTTTGATTTTATATTGTTTTTGTTTCGCTTTTGATTTATGTTCTTCCTTGTTAACCACCATTATGAGTTATATAATAAATTGTAAGAAAAATCTTACAATATATATTTCCTGTTAAGCGAGCTTAGGAGAAAAAGCAAAATGCAAAAGCCGAAAGCACTTAAATAATAGAAATTGCACTAAATGAATATATATACTGTTTCATTAGCAGATAATTAGTAAAGTTAAATAAAATTAAATAATTTAACAAATACAATGTAATATTATATCTCATTCATATAAAGCAAATTAAATGTTTTATTTATGTAAATTCAATTGAAAACAAGTAAAATGATTACTGCTGCGAACTAATTTACAATATCATTCAAAGTCAGAAAACATAAGTAAATTCAAAGAAAGCATGTAAATACATAAAAAAAATATTATACAATCCAAAAATTTATCTTCAAATCTGTTAAAATTTTTTAAAAACTAAATTACATATATAAAACTGATTTTCGATTTTCAAATTATTATTTTCGCTTAAATTAGATCATTACAAGTACTTTTACACTTTCTCTGTCTGATTTCGTTAAAACTTTTGACTTTGAGGACTGCTATCTTTCTTTCAACTGCCGCAGTGTTGAGATGATTTGTTTTGACAATTTTTATGCTTTTTAATTGATTTTTTTTATCTATTTTAAGTAGTACATATTTTTGCTATGAAAAGAAGTTTTGGGTTCTTATATTTTCCTATATTATCTTCCTACTTCTGGTTATCATTTATACAGGTTTTTTTAATTTATTTATTTATTCACTACAGGTTTTGTAATTGCATATTCGTTTTGTTTATTCTACCTACTCCGAAGAATATTTATTACTAGAGTGAACTTCAGTTTTTTTATTTTTAATCATCGGCCTTAGAAATGTTACAAAATATTTTTCAAATCCTTTTTAAATCTTTCCAAAAGTAAATTCAAAGAAACAGTTGATCATGCCGAACTATGATCTGCTCTCGAAAAATAGCTACAGTTTTATACAAACCTCTATCCTCTTTTTATGACATTAATTGAAATTTGCGTTATTTAAATGATTTTTTTTTCATTTTATTTGTTTACTTTCAGCCCTCTCATAATTAATTTACATTTCTTCATTGTCCTCCGTTCGGACCACGATTTTTTAACATTGTCGTCACTCCGGAATTCGTAAGAATGTAGCTGACCTATAACTGTTTTAATAGTTATTTTTATCTAAACTATGTTGTCGGATTATTATTAGATGTTTCTATATAAACATAATAATAGTTCTATATAACTTCTGTATGTTTACGATTTGCGATTTGTATCGAGTATTTGAATTCATTAAAGTTATAGCAAAACGAAACTTCACACCTGTATGTCGGCGCCATTTGATTATCCGCCACCAAACATTTGGGGGCACCGACGAGATTGCGAAATCGTCAGCAGTTTAAAATACAGATAATACTTTGACTTCCGTTCCAAACACATATATAGCTGCTCGCACACGGTGTTCTGAGTGGAAATTTATTCAGAACTTTCGACGTGGATTCTGGAATCCCTGGAAAAATGACTATTTGGTTTCTCTTCAACCGCGATCCAAGTGGCAGCACACTCAACGATCGACGTAGTGTTCTTGTCATCGAAGTTGGATGTCCACCTTTAACCTGGGTGTGTCATCGTCGTTTATCCTGCCAAAGACGGATTAGTTCGCGCAGCCACAATCAAAACTAAGACCGGTGCCTTCAAAAAGCCTACAACCTAATTTTGCCTGTGTATCAAGATTGATGCTGATATAAGGTGGCAGTATGTTTACTTTCACGCCTGTCCTAGTTAATTTGCATTTATTCACTGTCCTGCGTTGGCAATGAGATTTTTTAGCATCGTCGTCACTTTGGAATTTTAATATTAATTTTTATCTGAACTATGTTATCGAATTATTATTAGATGCTTCTATACGAATAACTACTGTACGTTTACGACTTGTACAAGTAGTTGAATTCATCGAAGTTATAGCAAAACGAAACTTCCCAATCATATATCGGCGCCATTTGATTACAGGCCATGAAACATTATCATCTTGCCTTCTAGATTTGCTAACTATGAAGAACACAAAATTGTTCTTACAATTTACTTGCTTTATTACATTATTTGTAACAACATTAGGTACACAATAAATGGAATTAATTTTGAATTTTCATTCCGCTTGTTTCTTTTATAATATATAGAAATGTGTGTGTATATGTAAGTTATTCAAAACATCATTATTAAACAACAAATGGATTTACAGGCAGAATTTACCGAAAGAATGTTCCCTTTCAAAAATTTCTAAAACAGCCTGATACTTATACATTATTGTTTAACTATTTAATAGATACTGATATTTGAAATGAAAATAATACACTTACCCAAGATCCAAAACGCGCAAATAAGCAGCATTTACGGGCAAGTGGGACCTATCAATAGATTCAATTAAATTGTCTCGCAGTTCCAATATTCTGAGACTAGAAAATGTAGCAAAAGCACCTTCACCAATCCACTTAAGTTGGCATTTTAAAATTCGAATTGCGATTACGTTATTTTTCGCTATTTTGCGAAAATCAGAATGCAGATATAAAAGTTTCGAACGGACTGCATTGAACTGCATTCCCTCTTGACCACTAGGATTTAAGTTCTCCAGTACATTCCATTTCCATCCAACTAAAATTGGCACATCAATTATATCGAAAATTATGGATTTAGCTGTTAAATTTTCAAATACTGAATATCCAGGGATTTGGGCTGAAAGCAATTGAATCTTCGAGCCGTCTACAATCTTCAGGTGAAATTTATCTAGATTTTTCAAATTTGTAAACGAACCATCTGGAAATGCTGGTAAGTTATAGTTCTGAAACATAACGAAGACAGTGGGAATTGGGTAACAAATTCAAACATCCGTTCAATGTTTTTGTAAAATTTCTTCTTAAATATACACTAAATTCTTCAAAATTCCCATCTTTAAAATAAAATTCGCATCTATTCTTTTTGTGTAGTATTGCATCTGTATAAGAAGCATAGCATTTTATAAAACCAAAGCATAGAAGTATCAAAATAAATCTTATATCCATCTCTTTAAAACCTAAAGCTTTTAATATTCTTTTTAAATGTTCTCATTCATCCTATTAGTATGGAAGTAAAAAAATATTTTCTGTCTGATACAAGAACAGACATCAATCAGATAAGTGAGTAAAGAGCATGCAAAACGTTCTTAGAAAGTAACAAGCACATTTCTGTCGATCATAATAATAACCGTGAAATTGTCTTATTAAAAAAATAACAATAGTAATAAAAAAACTGATAAAAAAAGAAGATAACTTCTAAGTGCTGATAACATCTTGATCTGCAATGTGAGTAATCTACCACTTCAAAATTATCAATCACTTACGATAAGTTCCGCTGAGATATTGCACGTATTTATTAAATATTCATGTCTCTAACGTTTCGACATACATAAAAAAAACTTCCAGACGGAGTCACAGCATATTGTTGAATTATCTGAAATTAAAATCGATTGATATTTGTCTGTGACATACATACTTTCTTCTCTCGGTATTGCATCTGAGTGCCAATAGTTACTAAAGATGTATCGGGTGCCAGTATTTATTAAAGATGTGTGGAAAAAAGGGTGGGAAAAGATCAATCAACGTTCTGTTGTCCGTTATATATAAAACAAACAACAAACAATTACAAGATACATTATTTATTTTTCATACATTGTTTGATTTTCAAAATGTATTTATTATTACTACATACTTTTAGATGTCAATGCAACAATATATTTCATAATATGCTCAATTCATATTTGCACAGCACAAATTGATATAAATGATATGTATAATAATACAAAATTAAGACTTTCCGCCAAAAAAATTAAGTTATGTTCTGCCAAATAGCTAAATTATGCAACACATGATAAAATCTGACAGCCATTCGACGATACAAACCATTGGCTGAACAAGTGAGATAATTTTGGTTTTGGGTAATTACGTAAAGTTGGTGGAGGTCCTGCCAATCGTTCTTGCTGAATTCTGAGCCTCACTACTATATGCAACTCTTACAATAAAACACTTGTCAATCTCTGTATACAGTCCACGAAATAGCAACTGCTGCGAAAGTACTCGATTAGCTTCATTTTTGGCTTTCACAGAAAGACTTTTCTACTAATTTGTTAGGCCCTCCGATTTTACTGGTAGATTTGTTTAGCATGCTATAGCTACAAACATCCAGCATGTTCCGGCCTCTCGACAAACAGTTCTACTCGAGATGTCAGTCACGATTTTCCTACGTGGAGTTTCACTGAACTTTGGAATCTGGCAATCGAACAAAATTATAAGAATGGCATGTTACTACTAAGAACATATAATGAATTAAAATTTCAGAAAGCAGTGCTTCCTTTCATTCTGCATCTGGTGAAGCCATCAGTAAAACAAAATGGTTAGTGTGGACAAAATAAGACGAACGTATTAAGTGGCTATTATCAGTCGATGAAGAAGGTGAGCTTCTGGTGGAAGGTCCAAATCAATGAATTGAAGACTCTAGAATGAGTAAAAAATGTTAAGGATGGAGAATGGCAGATGGATATTTGTGCTTTTCGCTGGAAAATGGAGAACATCTAAGAGAGTTGATGCAGTTGTTAGGACGAGTGAGAACTGAATAGAAGAAATTTATGGCAAGTTTTTGAATATAATGTTCAGTTGTGTCTACTTTGAGATGACGGTAGATATACGCATTTGGGATGAACCATGGCGTGTTAATAATCTCTCTTAAGTGCTTTGTTTTGAAGAACTTGGATATGTTGAAGGTGAGTTTTGGCATCGTGGCCTCAGACAAGAACTAGCATAGCGTAATTCTGGTCAAAGTATAGATTTATATGAGTTTATTTGAAATGGTAATATATGACTTCTTATTCCAAGAAGTGGGCGCATAGTTTCAAGCGTAATATTAATTTTTTACACAGTTTCCCTGAGAGACATGTTTACATTTAAAACGTTGTATGTTGAATAACTAAATAAAATGAGATAAACGCAACACCGAAGGTGATTTTTCCAATCTGTTTCTGTTTTGTCGCCATACCCAGCTGTTCTACAGCTCGTTCAACAGATACTAATTATCTTAACCAGATATAATTGAGTCGGAGTGTAGTCAAAATGTAATTTCAAAACTCACGAAATACAAGGAAAAAATGCAACAATAACAGTTAATTTATATCCTTGTTCATAAAAAAAGTGGCTGGCGTTACATCAAACGAAAGCGCAGATGAAGTAAGTGCGCTATGACGTCACGCTTATCCATAACTGGCGGTAAATCGCCAGTTATGCGACGATTCACGGTCCACGCGACGATTTCACGGTCGACGGGATAAAGCGTAAGTACCCAACTAATCCAACCACTGATCAATGAAACATAAGAAACACTAAGTACGGCTTCAAGATTAATTTTCTTGAGCAAAGGATAAACAATACTAATAAAACTTTAAAAATTTCACTATAATTCACACAGTTAAAAAGTTAGTATGAAAACCCATAAATTTTTCAATTCATCTAAAAGCATCGTAGATGGGATGGGCAAATATGATATCAGCTGATCAAGAGTCTCATAAAGACTTAAATTTTCAAGATTTTTCGGGTAGTTAACTTAAGTTCGCGCAAAATGCAGAATTTGAAAACTTGAATTACCTTTTTTTATCTAGATGATATCGATATGAAAAAGCGAATAAATGTAATAAAGATGAAATAATTAATAAGTAAATCGATTTTAATAATCAATAAATCATATTGCTCTACAGAAATATTCTTCACATGAAAGTTCAGAGCATTCTGCACGATTGCTCCAAAACTACTGTATCCGCAATCAACTTTTTCAGAAATTAGTTGTTTTTTTAAGGTACAAAAAAGCCTTAATGAAGAAGAAAAAAGGAAAAGCCTAAACTTTTTTTTTTTTTTTATCAATAGCGGTTTTCAAAATCTGTTATTGTAAGCTTACTGTACGAGCAACAAATTTGTATTATTATGAAATATAAGAGTGAAATTTTAGTAATACATAGGACTTTCAGAAAGTTTTGAGATGCCGAGAGTTTATTATCATATACTTTTACTCTTCAATATATCAAAGTATATATCGTAACTTACTGCTCTGTAAACGCTTATTAGATTAGGTAAAGTTAATCGATTAAAGCAAAGCAACTCGAGGTCTATCTACGTACAGGAAGGGATGCCTTCGTGGAAGGCTTTCTAAGGGAATCTATGTTACTCGAAGCTCGTAATCTATGGCTCGTATCTATGTTACACGAAGGAAACCACGAAAACACTCAACAGCCAGCCTGTTCGCCAGGATATGAACCCGGGTCAAACTAGCCAGTGTTTATTTATTTTATCGCTCGGCACTGGATGAGCCCCGTAATCTCAATGAAGCTGTGTTATCGAAAGGAAACATTTTCGGGTTTTATTCAAGGAGGTTAGAATAGAAGGAGGGAAGGTTCAACTCAATCGGTGAGCTTGGCAGCAATGTTCTTGTTATCGCTGTGACTTGTGCAAGGAAGTCTGTAATTGCAATATTTTTTTTTTTTCTTTTCTTTTTGAAGCATGTCACGTGTGTTGTATATGGATGCACAAACAGATTTTCGAAAAAGATTCCTGGGATTACTTTTCACGTGTAAGTATTGATTTTCTTTTTTTTTTTTTTTTTATGTAATATGAAAACTATGGTAAAAAATATCACAATGTTGTTTTCTTTCCAGATGTAAAGAAAAAGAGACTTAATAATAATCAAAATATGTTAAATACATTTTAATGTTTCTGTTTATAGCTGTTATCTTTGTTCCTTAACATATAATGATGTATGTTAGGATGTAAACTGTATAATTTGAACGTTTTAGGTAAATCGTTTGATAATTTTCATGAAAAGTAAGACACCAGTTGTTGCTATTTTTCTGAATTTTAAAGGTGTTAAATAAAGTAATGCTTTTCTTTATGTATTAATTATTATTCATTTTTAAGTTTTTTGAACTGTTAAGAATATAATTTGTGCATTTGATCAAGATAAACTAACTTTTCTGTTGTTAAAATTTTTTTGCATAAATTTACAAATTTGTGGGCAGTATAGTGATAAAAGTAAGCAAAATATTTACACAAATGAACATGTTTAAAGATGTATCCAAAAATATAGAAATATTTCTGTAATTTAGCTTAATTCAAGGCAATTTCTTTGAGATTCATAAATATGAAACGCGCATACTGAAATCACTGAATTCACATAAATCTGTTTTATTTTATTAATATTTATTTTCTTGTTATAAGGTTGTTGGTTGTGAAAAGAATCTATTTAAAACTTTCATTTAAAAAAATGCCACCTGTGACTATTGTTTTAGATAATTATCTGCTATTAGTTTCAGGTTAAATATATTTTAAATGATTCTTTAATAAATTACAATATTGTGAATAAATCAGAAATATCACTTCTTAAAGAAAAAACTGGAAAGCACACCCAACAGTTGCTAATAAAACCTAAACAAATTCTATTTTTAAAGGCTTTAATGATATGCACATGCATTTAGATTTCGAACTATTTCTTAATGGTTTTCTGTACGTAGTAAGTTACGGATATCATCTTTATAACTTTGAAACAGAAAACTAACAATAGCGAAGCATTTCATTATAAATTTGACATATTTTTAGTGGAAAATACATGCACGAAACAGCTTAAAAACACGTACGTTTCACTGCCGTAATGCAATGTTTTTGAAGTTACAAACATGGACGCCGCTTGTTCGGTGGAGTTTCATTCCCCGATAGTGGAAGAAACTGCGAACCCTACCTCCTTATGTTCTAACCTCCTTGGTTTTATTCTTAAATATCTGACATGCTATAAAAGTTGAAATTCGTGTTGGGGTGTTGGAGTAAAAAGTCTTTCGTGCTCCCCAATATTTAGATTGTGCACTTACTTACTGCTTAAATAGTTCTCGGAAATATATTAAATTCTATTACTGCTTAAATAGTTCTCGGAAAAATGGCATACACAAAGGCCAGCCATTCACTTCAGACATAGCAAAAAATTTCACTGCTGTGATTGTCATGCTGAAGACTGTCATACCACTTGCATGCATATCGAAAGCCTGAAGATCAGATTGGGGAACGTCAGCTCTGTTCTTGATCGTCTCGGTTTCAAAAAGCGATACTCCAGATTCATGCCCATCCTACTGATTAGCAAAGAGCGGCATAAGGACTGGAGCAAATTTAACA